TGCATGATCAGATTAAAACACATCAAATGCTCTTATGCGAGATGGGGCAAGCCAGCCCGAATACCTAAGCCGGCCTGGTTTGGGTGAAATCTTGCTTTTGTTATTATGTCCTACTACACTTGACTTAGCGTTTATATGGGAACCGAGCTGGCTACCCTAAGCGAGATCCCGCCTCGACTGACCCGAGATCTAGGGTGCCCAGGCTTGGGAATTTTCCATACAACGCAATGACTTGGGCTGGCTCGCTTAAGCAAGCTAAGTGTTATTGCTCTGTTCACAAGAATATATTGTTGTAAAATGTAAATAAGATTTTCTCGTCAGATTTCGATCTTAAATAGCCTGTGTGGCAGGCCCTCAATTTTATGGGGGGCCTGATTTGCAACGGGCAGGATTTTGGCGGGCACGGGGGAGGATTGAGGGCCTGCAGAAAAGCCCACCTTTCATGACTACACGCCATTCAGATTCTGAACGGTGAATACGATCACCTGATTCGTCAATACCAAGACAGTGGAAAACCGTAATTTGTTGATTTCAATATGAACATCGTGGCTATTTTTTCTTGTTCAGCAGCGATACAAAAGATGATCTCGGTTGAACTAAAACCGCTTTTAATTTAAGGGGCGAACGTCCTTCGCATGTTTTCAGAACCAGTATTTACATCCACGTTGTTTGCAGTACTTGTGCTATTTCCTGATGACTGGCCAGTGAGATCATTTTTTGTATCGCTGATCAACAAGTATTTTTTACGCGCAGATTTCGATTCAGTTCTGTAGAGATACTACCCGGAGAACCTCGCGGAGAACGAACGCGTTTTGATTCAGTTTGGTTGAATGGACTAGCGCCACGGTCAGCAGTTAACAGTTCACGTTTTCATGATGCATCTACATCTTTGGGCTGGTAATGGTGTTGAAACTTCTCGTGTAATGTATTAAGTGAAGATTTTAATTCCGTTAAAGCTCATGCACTTTTAGAATTTTTGTTGAGCATGTGTTGCAAATTTTGGTTGAATGTTATTCAGAGTTTTTCAACGATAAGTCAACTTTCTCACATAAATCTAAAATCTGAGAGCACAACTCCGAAAGATTGTTTCCTTTGTGACGGTTTAAACAGATTTTGCGATGAAACATGGACAATTTTAATAAAATTGCTGAGTTGCTGTTTAAAACAACATTTACAGACTCTGTAATATTTAATAAATCGTCGGGAGTTTCATTGACAGTTTACAATTCGCAAAATTGACATGTTTACGTGCAAGCGAATATATTTCTTTCGGGCCAGGGTTTCCCCAATTCCAGCTGAATTTTTATTGGTCAATTTTAGAAAGCCATTAATTAAGTTGTGACTGGGGCGTGTAGTCATGAAAGGTGGGCTTTTCTACGGGCCCTCAATCCTCCCCCGTGCACGCCAAAATCCTGCCCGCTGCAAATCATCCCCCCCCCCCCTCCCCCCCCAGGTACAGTAAAAGTTGCTCGCAAAAGTGCAAATTTTAGGTTTGTGAGAAAATATATTTATATTATATTATTTATGGCAGTGAGCCCAGTGTTCTGTTTTGGTGAGCCAGCCTGCCTCGTGTCTCATGTGTAAACACAGTCTTAGCAAAGCGAGCTAACTCGGAGAACCCAGCCTAGCTCCCTCCATTTAAACGGCCCTGTATAGATGCAAATGACTATTTTCTTTAATCATCAGAATTCCACCGTATACCCTTGCAATCAGTTTGGGGCTGTCTGCCCAAAAAAGACCGCCCCTAGTGTCCAGTAAAATAAAAGGGGCCAATAGGCAACTTGCACTAAGAGGTCGCGTGACCTTAATCCTCTTAAAATAGTATGGAACTACAAATCTACAATGAACATACAGAGTGATGTTTTGAGCAAAAATTCGTATTTTTTTGTTTTTAAAAACTTCAAAAAATATCGTACACGTTTAGAGCAGGGCGCTTGGTAGAAGGGGGGGGGGGGGGGGCGTTT